AACCTGCGTAAGGAGGGGCAGAAAATGTTGCACTGGAGTTGTGAGAGAGAGGAGTGAGGAAACAAGTCTGCAGACAGCAAGCTCCGAGAAGAAGGAAGGGGACTTGGTGCTGCAGGTGCTGGAGCCGGGATTCCCCGACAGCTTAGGGAGAGGTCATGGTGAGCAAATACGCACAGTGCAGCCAGTGGAGAACCCCATGGCAGAGCAGGTGGGTATCTCCTTAAGGAGCTGGGGCCTGTGGAGAGCCCACTCCAGAGCTGGGGAATAGTGTGAGAGGGGAGGAGCAGCAGAGAGGAGCTGCTCTGCACTGACCACACCCCCATTCCCCATCCCCCGGGACTGCTCACAGGTGGGGAGGAGCTGTGAGGTGGGTGAAGCTGAGGCTGGGAAGAAGGAAGATGGGTTTAAGGTATTTCAGTTTTTGACTTTGTTTCTCAGTGTCCCATGAGCAAAGGCAGCATAAGCATCCTTTCATTTGAATAAGCAACAAAACTAGAATAATCCAAAAGCTAATGTAGAAGTTTGCAGTAATTGAGTTATTTTGTTATTTATTTTAAATTTATTAATTTGCATTTTACTAGAAGATATTTCAATTCCAATTCATAGCCTTGTCCTTTGGCGTGAGCTGCATTTCTCACTTTAAAATCTGAAGGGGGCAGCTTCCTGTGGAGCAAGTAGGTATTTTGCAATAGTTTAAGGGCCTTTTACTCCCTTCTGGTAACTCGCTACTTTTCAGTTTTTGAAAGAAACTTTGATATTCCTGTTTAGATTTAAATTTCATGTTGTATCACCAAAAATGCCTAACAGAAAAATTACACCTCTTTTGGAATAAAAGCCATATCCTAAAGAACTCTCCAAAGGTTAGCCTTTATGCATATCTTATTCCATGTAATATTTTGGATATTTTTAGTGTATTAAAACTTCTTACCTTTAAGTTCTGTGCCACTCTTGAAGCCAATAAGGAGTCTGGGTTCTACCTGAACACCCAAACTTTCTCTCCTGGAGAAACCACAAAAGCTTTCAAGTCCCATATGCAGACTGCATGCTCTGCCTATATCCTGATTCTGCACAGGAAGAGATTTGAAAGCACCTGCAATGTCACTGAACAAAGCACCGTTCTCTGTGCCACCATGGTATGTGCAGCAAAAATCCATTAAAGCAAGAGGAGTTAAACTCAATTCATGCTGGGGAGACAGAAAATGTTGCCTGATAATTGTGTAATGAATAAAGTTATAATCAGCATAAATTAAACGGGGCACACCATGACAAATAAATGTAATTTATTTCTTTATTGTAAACACTAGGATAATACAGAAAGAAAATTCGGTCCTTATATACCCAATAAGAGTTTTATATAGGTGTTCATAATGAGCTCAACGATTAAATATATCTAAGAGAAATACAACAACTAGACTTGGAACTGAGCTTGTAGATGCACCATTAATTCTCAGTCCTCATACAGTGAGTTTTGTCAGACTTCACACACACAAAAAAAAAAGGTTCAGAGAGAGTCTATGTGCCGTTAGGAGAGCTGAAGTGATTATACCAGTGCGCAACTAGGAGATTACATTCTTGTTTTTTTTAGTTTTTTTAGTACCTTTTAAAAGTATCCTATAGTGAATAAAATTAGAATTGGGATATAGGTACCAAACTGGAGTATATATACTAAATATTTGACAGAACATTTTAGAGTTAAGGGGTTTAGGGTTGTCAAGACAAATGGAATGTATTAGGAACCGCTTTCTTTCATAGCAGAGATAAAATACATACAGGTTCTGGGTACACTGTGTAAAAAATAATAGTTATATTGTTGTGCACAAAGTAAAAGCACCAAAGCAGTTATGCGAAATGAAAATCCCATAAAGCCACTGCTCTGTTTTTTATTTTCAGTGAGAAATTTTGGATTTTCTAGCTTTTTAAGTCTAGTATTCACTTTCATTAGTTGAGCTGATACGAAAGTAAACAAAGATGACAGATATTTTCCTGAAGGATGGTGGAATAGGTTTATTTTTGTAATGATGTCTATAAGCTATAAAGCCACATTTTGGGCAACTGTATAGAATTATTTCAAGTTTTAAAACCAGTATGTGTATAATGAAATCTATTAGTGGAGGAGCTTGTCCAGACATTTCATATACCTTGTGCATCATTCAGGTGGAAATATGGAAAACAGTCCAGGTCATGTTACAAATCTCAGACTGGTTATATATATTAGATGGGATCCCACCGTATGTTTATGAGAAAAAAGTACCCCTTTTTGCCTCAGTTGCTGATACAACAGAGGATTCTAGATGCTGTATCTCTGTTTGGTCTCATTGTGACACTTTGCAAATAGTGCAGTATGTTTAAGGGATTTGTACAATTATATTGCAATGCAATCATAAATTATATCTTCATTTTAGAGATTATTCATGTATTATTAACAAGACCAAAACATTCTGTAAAAAATGGAAATTTAATCTGAATACACCCCTTTCTTAAGGATAATGAGGGAAGAATTCAAACCGCAAACTAAGATTCAGAGGCAATATTTCAGCTAATTAATTCATGCAGAGGCTACTTGAAATTCAGGGTTCCAAATTACAGAGATGGAGAATAATTTGGTGATATAGAATGGGAGACTAAAAATCTGCCTTGGTTTAGATCTGTGTCCTGAGATGGAATAACCAGATCTACTTATCTATTCCCTTTTTCAACACATATCGGAGGAAGACCACAAAAGAACACAAGTTTAAAACCCAAGCCAATGAAAAATTTACAGGCAAACATGCAAGTTTTATGACAGCTAAGTATGCAAAACATTACTTAAATGTTGTGTAGTACACATTTGAAGTATTACACTATACAGTTGTATGATCTATCCAGTATTTTGATGACAAAACTCTTAAATCATTCACTCATGACATTAGCTTCTATAAGGGGGACATTCTCCTGATAGTAGTGAGTGCAGTCTG